CGCGGGCCCCCCCCCCCCCCCAGGGGTCCTATGTAGGGGTGCCCTCTCTGCAGCAATATCCCTATTTATAATAGGGGAGCCTGGAGCAGATGTGCTTTTGTTTCTTATATACACCGGTCTTCATTACATCGGAGGCACCACAGCCCCCCAGATCCCCACTTGAGCCCCCAAGGTTCCTATGCAGTGGGCATTCCTCTGCAGAATGAGCCTGATCTATATTAGCGGAACCTGGAGCAGATGTACTCTGTTACCTATATACATGATATATACACAGGTCAGCATTGCATAGGGGGCACCACAGCCACCCAGATCCCCACTTAAGCCCCCAAGGTTCCTATGTAGTGGGGATTTCTCTGCAGCATGATCCTTATTTATATGTGAGGAACCTGAAGCAGATGTACTCTGTTACCTATATACATGATATGTACTAGGATCCTAGGCAGTGGTGCCTTCTCTGCACTTTTAGCCTTATTTATATTAGGGGAATCTGGATAAGATGTACTTTGTTACCTATATACATATATCTTTAATGCATAGGAGACCCCACAGCCCCCAAGATCACCCTAAGAGCCCCCAGGGATCCTATGCAGTGGTGCCATCTCTGCAGCATTATACTTTTTTTTTTTATATTTGAGGAACCTGAAGCAGATGTACTCTGTTACCTATATACATGATATGTACACAGGTCTTCCTTGCATAGGAGACACCACAGCCACCCAGATCACCACCAGAGCCCCCAGGGATCATAAGCAGTGGGGCCTTCTCTGCAGCTCTAGCCTTATCTAGGCCTAAAGCAGATGTCCTAGGATACCTATATACATGATATATACACAGGTCAGCACCACCAGAGCCCACAGAGATCCCATACAGTGGCGCCTTCTCTGCAGCTCTGTCCTGATCTATAATAGGAGAACCTGAAGCAGATGTTCTTTGATACCTATATACATGATATATACAAAGGTCACCATTGTGTAGCAGGCACCACAGCCACCCAGACCACCACCTAAGCCCCAAGGTTCCTTTTCTGCACCTTTAGCCTTATTTATATTTGGTGAACCTGGATCAGATGTACTTTGTTACTTACATACATGTGGTGATGGTTGGGTCCAATGGAGGTCATATTGGGAGATGGTCGCCAATGTTCCTGCACTACCGCCATCCTCCCCTGACACCCCAGGCAACAACTGATAGTCTTGAATGGAATTTCCCGGGCGATCGTCATTGTTCCTTTGGAGGTAGATAATTTGAACATAGATTTGCATGTTTAGCCGGTGCCATCACATGTTTATGCCATGACAGTTCTACAGAACACCCAATACGAGGGTGATATCCTTCCACTGCCTGCCAATGTGGGAATACCGCTACTGAAGCTGAACAGAGTCCAAATACATTTCTAACTGGCCCGATAATTTATTATTTGCATTTTACACTTTTTGTTGTTTTTTTTTCCAGGCGTATCGAACTTAGACGTGAGTTTCCCGAGCAGAGGAAAGGTCACGGTCATCGGGGGAGGGGACTTGGCTTTGGCCTGTTTATTGGCCATCTCTGCAAAGGTAGAAAAAACTATCTACGTTCAATGTCACGTGCCCCTGAATTGTCCCTGCATGTGCTCCTATTTGTTTTATATACTGGACATTCTATTAAAGTGGAACTCCAGAAATGTGTCAAAACTACCCTTGCAGTGGCACTACCCTACCCCCCCAACCTTCTGCAAGGGTTAAATACTTTCTTGTCTAGGGCTGCACTATAAAGCAGTTTTGTCTAGTGTTGCTGTACCTATGCAGTTGTGTTACTTTGTGACCAGAGAATAATAGTTATCCGGTTTGTCCAGAGGGCTGCGGACAATCTGGTACTGCTTGATGTCAGTGATGGTGGACTGAAAGCCATGGACTTGGACATATTCTGCATTCCCAACGTGCAGATCAGCAAAGGTAAGTGCCAGAGCAGGAAGTCTGGTCAGGTTTGCTGCTCAATATAAAAATAAAAATGTTTGACGATGGACTTTACGTGGCCTTTTTATAAACAATTCGCCCTGCAAACATCTGTGAACGTTCATTATGGGTAAATAATGCCAAAAACAAATGTGCTTTAATATATTTTTTCCCCAGTTCGAAGGTAGTGTTGTAATATTACATTATGGTTACTAGATGGAGCGTTTCCCAGTTTGAATGCAGTGTGCTGTAATATTACATTATGGTTACTAGATGGAGCGTTTCCCAGTTTGAATGCAGTGTGCTGTAATATTACATTATGGTTACTAGATGGAGCGTTTCCCAGTTTGAATGCAGTGTGCTGTAATATTACATTATGGCCACTAGATGGAGCTCAGGAGCATAATAAATAAATACTCTTTTCGTGGGGGAAAATATTCAAAGAACATTTGTTTTTGGCTTTATTCATTCAAAATGAATGTTCTCAGATACTCACAGGGCAAGGGCCCTGCAAATTGTTTATAAATAGACCCCCCTAATCTGAAAAGCTTATTGTGTTTTCAGATTTATCTACGGCCACGGGCTCAAAAGCCGTTATCATTACCGTGAATGCGTGGAGCAACGCTCAGTCTTATTTGGAGGTTCTTCAGAGTAACGTGGATCTGTTACGTGGCATAGTACCAGCTGTGGCCTATCACTGCCCAGACAGTGTGATCGTCATCGCCTCTCAGCCTGGTAAGGGAAAAAATTAGGTATATGATAAAGCAATAAAGCCCAGCGTGGTGCCATCATAGAAGAGCAGTGTCCCACTTAGGAACATGGACATTCATTGATACTGTTATGATTGGCTCTTGTCCGGGGCTGCAGGAATCCTGACACATTTCACATGCTTAGTTTTTACCTGTGACAGGGAAACATGAATGCAGCTCAAGTCAGGATTTGGCCATATTTGCCCCTACAGAATGAAAGCAGCCATTTACATTCACATCTCCGTGATATTATGTGTGACGGTGTACTTTTGCAGTATTTTAGTAACTCTTAAAATATATGTCAGAGCAAAATTTAAAAAAAATAAACATTTTATCCCTTTTAAAGACCCGGCAAGTGCAGAAAAATACTGAAATTGCAAGGAATGGTGTCAGCCCTGCCCAGTTGTCTTTTTGTTCAGCTACTGAATCCCTCTCCTTCTTATTCACACAACATTGAGAGTAATTATTGTGTAGTCTAAGAACTGGGAGGACTCCCACAGGAAGTGTGCACAGAGCACAGGACAGCTCTGAATTTCTGTCAACGTTTTCTTGGGGGAGGGTTACACTTATTAAACAGATATAACAAGACACTTCCAATGGTATATTTAATAGACCAAATGGAGCAAATAAGAGAATTTCATCACCAATCAGAATCTTTCCATTAGTTATAAGGAGATGCTTTGCAATTCTTAACCTTCCATCTTTTTACTCCTGTTTCTTAGTGGAGATCATGACTTACGTGGCCTGGAAACTGAGCGGCTTGCCTCACCGGCAGGTCGTAGGGATCGGATGCAATCTGGATTCGGTCCGGTTCCAACACATCATCCGCACTGTGACCAATTCCCAAGAAGAGGCGCAGGACGGCTGGATCATCGGGGAGCAGGGAGAGAACAAAGGTAAGCCGTAGACTAGGGATGCACCGATACTAGTATGGGTGTTGGTGCCGATACTGAGTATTTGAGTACGAGCCCAAATGCTCTGATGCCTATCCCGATACCGGAACTTCTGGTATTAGGAAGCCGAGCAGCGCCCTATGAGGTGGGGGAATCAGACACTGAGCCACTTCTCAAAAAATGGACACTCTCCTTATGCACCTCCAGTTCTGGACCCCAAATTGCTTGGTACAGCAGAGGTATTCTTTCCATGTGTGTGACCAGTATCAGCTGTTGGATTAACAGAAGAGACACAAAGTTCAGGTTCCATCAGCAGGGAACACTGAGGGAGTTGTCTTAAAATCAGCAATCCCCAAAGTATTAATTTATAGCAACCTTTTTTTTTCAGTGGCCGCATGGAACGATGAAGACGCTGCAAACAATCAAAAACCTCCCGGGAAAATATATCCCAAGATCTTTCAAGAACAGCTGGCAAACAGGTAAAGTGTCCATTAAAGTGGATCTGAACTTAGAAAGGGAAGATTTGTTATCTTATAGGGAATATAGAGAAAGTCTATTTGTGCAAAACCCTGAAATATCTACTTTTTACTTGAACTCCTACTGAAACAACATTAGAGCTCTTCCTGTGCTAAGGCACATCTTCCTAGCAGTATATCTGCAGTGTTATATGTAAGGCTCTGATACCTCTGACTGCTAGTCTACGGGTATATGGAGTGAGATTTGATGATGTCTCTACTGTGCTGCTCACTGTTCTCCTGGCTGGAGAGGAAGCCGCACCTGAGGAGCTTCAGTGCAAGGATCTCCCTGCTTTTGTTGCATTCATTCTAAGGATCTGTACTTTTAAATACCCCATCAGTCATCAGATCACCAGTCATTGTAGAGGGGGCAGCTCTGACATGAGGGAGCAAAGCCCTGCCTCTACCAAGATGGCCACCTCCACACAGGGACGCAGTGCAGAATAAGCAATGGGAAATTTGTAATGGGAAAAAATCAGCTGCAGGGAGACCACAGCCAATAACGGTGACTAATCCTTTGCCCTCCAGCAAGTTCTGCACCCCTTTAATGTTGACTTTAGCTAAACCCGACTCCAACATATTGCTCTCTTATTAAAACTAATACAGAGCTTCCTTGATCTGTGAGATAGACACTGATTGGCTTCCTCAGCGAGATCCTGCGCCTTGAGACCGCTGTTACAGTGGGAATAAACCCAAACTTGCATAAAGTAGGTATTTCAGTTAAGGCGCAGCTTATTGCCCTTGGTACAGGTTTCCTTTAAAAGTAAAAGATGACCCCAGCGCTGCACGGCATGAAAGCTAACCACTATGGCACAGTGCTTCATTATTCCAGAGAAGTCTGTCGTAATACTGGAAATGCAATATTTGATTATCCATTTGAAATTAGGAAATGAAAACCAGTAATACAATGCAGCGTTTTTTCTTCAGGGCGTTGGAGGTCATGAAAGGGAAAGGTCAAAGGTCGTGGTCCATTGGCTTATCTGTAGCCGAACTCACAGACACCATTGCTCAAAACAAAAAAAGGACCCATTCAGTCTCCACATTTACCAAGGTAAATAGTCCATCGTGCTGAAATTCTGATACAAAACTGGTACACGAGATATAGCATCACAAGATGACATTAAACTAAGGCTTATTTTAATGGAGTTTGTAAAAACACAGCGAGATACTCTTCCCAATCGTAGATAGCGGATATTAAATCCAGTGTACCCAAGCTAGGTGTGATCTAGGTCTTTCTCACTAACCTAGTGTCCCCTGGCTAGATGCGGCCCTACAAGCCTTTCTCACTGGCCTAGTGTCCCCTGGCCAGATGGCTTCCAAGCCTTTCTCACTGGCCTATAGAATTTTTGTTTAGATGCTGGCCGGCCTACAAGCCTTTCTCACTGGCCTAGTGTCCCCTGGTTAGATGCGGGACTACAAACTTTTCCCACTGGCCTAGTGAATTATGGTGTAGATGCAGGCCTACAAGTCTTTATCACTGACGTAGTGTCCCCTAGACAGATGAGGGCATGCAAGCCATTCTCACTGGCCTAGAGTTCTCTGGTGTTGATGCAGAGTCCCCTGGCTTAGTTCAGACATTCAACCCTCTCTTACACGCTTAGTTTTTCCAAGACATTGATACAGGCCTAAAAGTTTTTCCCAGTGGCCTAGTGTCCTCTGCCCAAGATACAAATCTGTGAGCATTTCTGATTGGCTAAGTTGTCCGTTGGCCTAGATAAGGGTCTTAAAGCCTTTCTAAATGGGCTGGTGTCCTCTGACCAAGATACATGCCTTTCTCTAGTGTCCCTTGGCCTACAGGCTTTTCTAACTGGCCGCTGGTCTAGATACAGCTCTGTAAGCATTTGCCACCGCTCTAGTGTTCCCTGGCCTAGGTAAGAACCTAACAGTTTTTCTCATTGCCCCAGTGCACCCAGGCCTAGTTTCACATCTACAAACCTAATTCATAACGCTTATGTTCCCTGGCCTACATGTGGATACCGGGGCCCTCTAACACCCACATATAGATCTATCAGAATGTATCTCTCCTGGGCTTCCCTTTACCTTTTTGTGTTTGACCTCACCTCACAAACTCTGTTTAACTTTGAATTGATTTAACGTAGAGAGGTGTTCCGGAGTGGAATAGTTTCTACCCTACACAGATTCAGTTGTGTTGGAAGTTCTTGAATACAATTGGAGTCTTGTCTTGCTGGTTCTAATGGCTTTGTTTCTCTCTGTGTGGTCAACCAGGGTTTCTACAACATACAGGAGGAGGTGTTTTTAAGCTTGCCATGTGTACTGGGAAGCACCGGGGTGTACGGGAACCCCCAGATCCTGCAATTAGACGATGCGGTGACCGCGGCCCTCCAGAAAAGTGCGTCATCTATACAAAATCTTCAGCAGCAGCTGAAACTGTAATTTTATGGAGCTGGACTCTTCTACGTATTCTACTATGCAATGGAAGGAGATCATCTCTGCAGTGCAGAGTATCTGTGTCCTACAATGAAGAGATTATTGCAGGGTTACAGAAGGAAAGGAAGAAAGCTTTTGTTGTTCCTATATGAAAAAATGATGAAGTGCTCTTTGACGAATGGCCAAGGTGGCATTGCGGGTTTAAAGGGAACCTGTCCTGTCTTTCTTCACTATAACTATTGTTACAGTATAAGATCTGACACCGCAAGGTGGCTGCAACGTGCCTCACTTATTAATGAGATCCACTTCTGTGTCCCCCGAGATCCCATCACACACATTGTATCTTCAGCCTTGACTTCAGCTCTGGCCTGAACCTCTGCCACCTCCCGCCATCCCAAAACCAATGAAAAAAATGACCAAAAGCAGCACTTTTGAGATCCCATCACACACGCGGTATCTTCAGCCATGACTTCAGCTCTGACCTGAACCTCTGCCACCTCCCGCCATCCCAAAACCAATGAAAAAATGACCAAAAGCAGCACTTTCATTGGTTTTGACTATAGTGGGGATAATATGATAACTGTGAGTCAACTTAAACTGTATGTAAACCCTACCAATGAATGTGTCCTGTTTGCTCCCTTTTGGTCTGTTTATTATAACATTGGAAGCAGTTTCTTATAGCTGTTTGTATAAGTATGAAAAAAAACCTGTTGATCTTGCCAGAAATTCAGACCTGTGCCTTCTTCATACTCCTTGTCTTATCCCAAAGATTCAGTTAAGTCCTCCTTGTTGCCATCTTGGACTACAGAGTGATTAGCCTTTGTTGTAGAGATCTGAGCGACGGAGTGGCTGCATAGTTTAGCAAAAGACATTAGGCAGGGGTGACACCACTCAGTCCAAAAAATCCCTCTATTTTCTCAGCCCACAACAGGGATTAAAGTGGAACTTGACATAAAATATATGTGCAAATGGACAGGCTTTTTAATTCAGAGGAGACATACTAATGTCCCTTCTAAAATAAAGCATTCGTATCTGCCTGTTTGTGATCTTTCTGGCAACGTACAGCATTGCATACGCATCTCATGCATAGTTTTTTGTCAACTGCTGGGATTATTGAACTCCCCCCCCCCACATGCATGAGAGGTAGGTCATCCCGGCACAGCCAGTCAAGGTGGCCAAAGATCCTGAACCAGAAAGAAGACAAAATGGAGATGTCAGAACCACCAAGAGCTTGTATACAACGCAACTCCCCTCCACATGCACCGGAGGTTGGCCATCCCGGCACAGCCAATCGGGATCCTGATTGCAAAAACCAAGGAGAAGACTGGATGAAGATGTCTGCACAAGCAAGGAACTTGTAAACATTGTTTCTCTAAAGGGGAGCCGAGTATAGTTAGGCTTGGCATTTCTGGCCAATGAGCAGGTGTTTTTCTGTATCGGCAGTTCTTTAAAAGGATAAAACATGGCCACATATGTATTGCGGCAGTTAAAATGCCCAGCATTGGGGGTGATTCCCTTAGGCGGGCAGAAGCAATGATGATTATTAGGAAAGGTGTCTGCTGCTATACTGTAATGTTATGACTGGACAAAGACAAGACAGGTTCACTTAAAGAAAAAAAGCTACTTTTTTGACCCAGTGGTAATGCACCATTCCAAACCGTTTTGAATTTCCTAGTCTGGGTATAGCGTGGACACCAGCCTGGAGCCGTCCATGCTCCATGGAAGATATTCAGATATGAAGAAAGCTGACATACATGTGTCTCTGCCCATAAACAGCCTACCAAGCCCCAAGGGGCTTATTCCTATTTGGAGAATAGGCCCATTGGGGTTAAAAGGGAGCATGTCGGCTTGCAATAAAGGTTTATGGTGACGTCAGTGGTGTGCAGCGCTTTCTTCATATCATATTTTCCTTAGAGCATGGTCGGCACCCACGTTATACCCAGACCAAGAGACCAAAAGTGGGTTTGTGTGGTGCATCACCGCTGGGTCAAAAACCTGTCACAATTGCTGTTACTTGCAACCTGCGCTCAACAAAGTATTTGCATGGCTACGTGCAGGCACACGCTGCCCTGAAGGTTGCCTGCCATGTCTAGCCAGCTTCATATATGTTCATTAGGTTTCCCTGCTCCCCCCTGCTGTGAGACCATTTAAGAGCCAGGTTAACCATCACCCAAAGTCATGCAACCATTGAATGCTCCAAGACCACAAGAAGGCTCTTTAAACAAAGCTATCATATTCTGTTTTTCCCATAGCATCCAGATCATTGCTTCCTCATCTTTTTGGCACTGAGCGGAAGCAAATGATTGGCTGCAACAAGCAACGTAAACTGAGATTGATCATTACTCAGTAAATGAGTTCCATTACATATCCATAACAAGAAATCACCTGCACTCCATACAGCGTACAGACCTTAACGGAGGGTTGATGCTCGAAGTGACAACATGGATGGCGCCGTGTCAGATACAGTCCATAATAAAAGTCACCAGCACTCGTTGATACGTGCAAGAAGTAAAGCACTTTTTAATAAATTGTCACATGCGTCATACAGCCAACGTTTCGGGGCCACACAGGGTCCCTTCTTCTGGGCAACATAGCCTTGCAACGTTGGCTGTATGACGTATGTGACAATTTAATAAAAAAGTGCTTTACTTCTTGCATGTATCATCGATTGCTGGTGACTTCTATTATGGACCATTACATATCCTAACACTCAATTTTGTTGATGGCTGCTGTCTCTTTTATTTTATTTTTTACACTAATAAGGTTTCTATAACTATTTGTTCTACTTGCACTTCCTAAATAAAAGAAACCCTAAGTCTTCAGAAATGTATATATGATTGTTACAGTATAACCATACAGGTTAAGGTGAAAAGAGACCAAAGGGATCAAAAAGCCTTCCTACCGAATCAGTGTACTTTATATTATAAATGATTGTTACAAATGCAGATTCATCTTTTGGGATTTCGGTACAAAATATTTTCTACTTAAAAACGTGTGAGTTGGATAATCATGGACAAGGTGAAAAATGCCTTCATTCAGTGAATGACATTACACAAGCAATAAATCCAAGTAAAACCAATCTAATTTGTGTTTTCATTTATTTTGTTGTATGACTTCATTATTAAGACTATGCAATAATAAATTATGATAGACTTTATCTAATGAGGGTGTTATGAACGCACTATGGACCGGGTTGAAGGTCTTGGTATCATTAGATGCAAATGTTTTAGTGCGCTTTTAATGGGTGCGTTATAAGACTTTTGGGTGCATACATATTAAACCACTCCATTTATTTGACTTGACTAGGAACATGGGGAGACAGTCCAAGGGAGGACGGAAGTAGGGTGATAGTCCAAACGGGGACGGAAGTAGGGTGGTAGTCCAAGGGAGGACGGAAGTAGAGTGATAGTCCAGGAGAAGAGGGAAGTAGGGTGATAGTCCAGGAGAAGAGGGAAGTAGAGTGATATTCCAGGAGAGGAGGGAAGTAGGGTGACAGGGAGTGAAAGTAGGGTGAGCATAGTGGTTCCATGGAGTGAGGTGATGGGGTGGAGGGAAAAGCTAAACCGAATGAAAGACATGGGTGGGATGAGATAATGGGGTGATAAGGAAAAGGAGGGTGACATGGTAGGGGAGTGGCAAGTAGGGGACTTACAAGTAGGGGACCGAGGGGGCAGTAGGGTGACAGGGTTGTGTATACTGGGTGGCATTGAACAGAAAGTATTTGGTTACAACCAGGGGAAAGAAGGGGCAGTAGTTAAACGGGATTTGAGAAAGTGGTTGGAAGGGAATGGGAGGTATTGGAGTTAAAGGCAGGGATAGGACAAAGCAATAAGGTGATGGTAGGCAAAGCGTGATATAGGTAAAGGAGAAGGTTACGGGGATGACGGGAAATGAAAATAAGGGGACATTGGGGTGACAGGGTTGGGAGGTTGTATGCAATGGAAGGTGTTGGTGTTACATACTGAGATAGAAGTAAATAGTGGGTGGCAGGGTTGGGTGCTAGGAAGGTGGCCAGCAGTGAGAGCTATTAGGATGACATACAGGGAAAGAAGGGGACAGTGGGGTGATAGAGTTAGTTAGGCAATGGGAGATATTGGGGTTACATAGAGGGAAAGAAGGGGACCGTGGAATGAACGGGTTGGGAGGAATTGGGGTTACATAGAGGGAAAGGAGGGGGACAGTATGTTGACAAGGTTGGGAGAAATTAGGGTCACATAAAGGGGAAGAAGGGAAAAGTGGGGTGACAGGACTGGGTGGTATTAGGGTCACATAAAGGGGAAGAAGGGAAAAGTGGGGTGACAGGACTGGGTGGTATTAGGGTCACATAAAGGGGAAGAAGGGAAAAGTGGGGTGACAGGACTGGGTGGTATTAGGGTCACATAAAGGGGAAGAAGGGAACAGTGGAGGCGATAGGGTGGATAGGTATGGGGGTAACATACATGGATAGGAGGGGACAGTAGGGTGACAAGGTTTGGAGAGCCTGAAGCCTGAGGTAGGGTATGACAGGCAATGGAAGGAAGAGGCATTAGGGTGGTATTGGGGTTACATACAATGGAAGTAGGTGACAGGGATGAGAGGTATTGGGGTCAGGTGGGTTGGCTGGAGGTAACAGTGGTTGCCGAATAAATTGGAGGGAAGGATGTTGATGAGATGGAGGGTCAGTAATGTGACGGTTGGGGAAGAGGTTGGTATTAGGGTGACAGACAACGGGAAGGGTCCATAATGGGGTACAGTAGGATGATTGTTCCATTGAATCATGTCCTCATGTATACAGCAATGAATAACAGAAAAAATGAATTTTAAAAGAAACCAAAATGTTATACACATGTTAAAACAAATACTTAAACTGGACAGATATAAGCAAACAACCAGCAACATCACTGCCTTCCCACTGCTTCCAATGTGTACATAGGACAGTACAAAGGATGGAGGGGAGTTTTAAAAAGGAGTCCTGGAAGGGGGGGGGGGGCAGATATGGAGTTGGAGGAGATATCTTTCCCCCAATGGCTCTCCTGTCAGGTGCAGAGAAGGATATAGTAGGGAGAGCTTTCCCTGCCCTTCTCCAAAATGGCGGCGACGGTCCCAGCTGCGGTCGCCATGGTGATAGAAGCCTGTATCCAGGGA